GATACTTTTCTTAGCAGACTGATTGGGGCAATAAAGCAACATACTATTGATTTGATCCCTCAATAAAAAATTAAAAAGTCGATGGTTTTTCTGCGAATATCTGTATAATAACAGTACACACCTGTACAAGCTGCCATGGATCCTGACTGTTGCCATCGGAAATGAGGATGACAACTAGGCGAGCATCAGGTCGTCGATTTCTAGCTATTTCTAGAAGTGTCGCATCGATGCCCGCTGTAATTGATGTTCGTCCGCCGGTACGCTCGATTCGCTCCAGCTCGTACAGTATATCATTTTGGCTACGGTATTTTCCAAATCCAAACTGCACTTTCGCTGTGTCACTAAACCGCACTACGGCCACCGCTATTCGATGCTAAATAAATGAATGTACGAAAACAAACAACGCTCCCATCAGAATTGTCGGAACAGACAGTATGGAACCCCGCAGGTGCAGCTGTAACAGGGTAGGCTATCTAACCCAATTGTTTATTTGCCTTGTCCAGCACGTGTGTTACCTCTTTAAATGCTGGCCATGCGTTCAGATAAAGTACCATCAACCAATTTTTCAGTTTCCAACACAACTTTCAATAGAATTTTCTACCTAGCCAAAATTCTTGCTATACAGTTGTCCTTCAGTGGAACTGATCAAATATCAGATGATTTTGATCAATTTGATTGTGCAATAAAAAATACCGTTTTTTATGAAAGACTAAAATTGAAAGTAACAGGTTTTTTCAGAATACTAAATAAAAGCTTTCACCAAATTTCAATTTGGGCATCTCACTGCGGAGTGGAAATACACTCGCTATAGTGAAAAATAAATCTTAACAGCTCGCGCTGTAAATGTTCATAGATAATGCTAATAAGTATCAGCCCGACTACTGCTTAGCAACACAGGAGCGGTTAAGCAGCTGTACTCAAAAAAAAAAAATGCAAAAACACAATGTGCGTGCTGTACGACGTGGCATGGGAATCAACACAAATGAAAGCAACAGAAAGAGTCTTAGAATTCTACGGTTTTTGCTGTCCGGTCTACAACGACCAGCCGACCAACAGGAGAACGGCATGCTATTAAAATTCTCGGGTAACCAAAAGATGCCACTACACAGCAGTATAGCCCTCCTCACATATGCCCCCAGTTGTAGGTCACCGTCTCAACAGTATTCACGAAACAACTCCTTCACTTCGTCACCAGTAGAAAATGGTAGCGCAAATTATTTTCTGTCAGCTTTACATGTCGAAAGTTAGGGTACTTATAGACCAGGTCCCAATTAAACCCCTAAAATTATTTCGAGGCTCCGAACAAAGTTAACAACTAGGTCTATCTTAGCCAGAAAGCAATATGCACCATAATCATCACTGTGCTGAAGGTAATGACTTAATGATGCAAACAGTAGTCAGCGAAAAAAATGAAAAGCTAGGCTGGATGTGACAGACAGAGCGATGGAACGAAAGATGCTTGGTCGTCCTTCCGTAACCACACAGTCAGACTCTTCAGATATGCAGAGCTATATAATTTATGAGAAAAAAAAGCCAAATGGAGGAGCGAGTTACTCGTCTTGCTGACAGTCTATGGCCTATTAAAGAGTGACGCCTTCAAAAAAGCAAGCGATCACTTGGGTATCCCCCGCAGAAATGGCGTATATAACAACAGGCGACGGGCACTACTTGTAAGTACGAAGGATCGAAAAATGTTGCTTATT